ATCTCAGCTCAGTGTAACCTCTGTCTCCTGGGTTAAAGTGATTCTTCTGCCTCAGCTTCCCGAGTAGCTGGGATTACAGGCATCCGACACCAAGCCTGGCTAATTTTTTTTTTTTTGTATTTTTAGTAGAGACAGTGGTCTTGAACTTGCTTGCCAGGCTGGTCTTGAACTCCCGACCTCAGGCGATCCGCCCGCCTTGGACTCCCAAAGTGCTGGAATTACAGACGTGAGCCACTGTGCCCGGCCAAAGTTACTACTTTTATGGTGCTTATGTTCTGATATAAATCATAAAATTTTTGTAGGTGAAACCAATGATGATTGCAGGTTCTCACATTTGGGAACACTTTCTGGGGAAGGTAATACATGGCCACCTAAGCATTTGGGAGTTTCTGTGTCTCTTTAGCAACTTTTATTCTGTTTCAAAAAATTTATTTATTTATTTTTTCTGCCAGGTATAGCAGCTCACACTTGTAATCCTAGCACTTTGGGAGGCTAAGGCAGGAGAACAGCTTGAGCCCAGGAGTTCGAGACCAGCCTGGGCAACATAGGGAGACCATGTTTCTACAAAAAATAAAAAATTTTAGTTGGGTGTGGTGGCACACACCTGTGGTCCCAGCTACTTGGGAGGCTAAGGCAGGAGCATCACTTGAGCCCAGGGATTCAAGGCTGCAATGAGCTATGATCGTGCCACTGTCCTGCAGCCTGGGTGACAGAGTGAGACCCTGTCTCAAACAAACAAACAATTTTTTTTTTCTGTTAATGGAGATGGGGTCTTGCTATGTTGTCCAGGCTGGTCTCAAACTCCTGGCCTCAGGCAGTCCTTTTGCCTTGGCCTCCCAAAATGCTAGGATTATAGGAGTAAGCCAGCATGCCCAGCCAGCAACTTTTATTCTGAACATTTAGAAAACTGAGGACCTGAATAAATCACATTTTAAAATTTAACCAAATTTACAGAGTATTTACTATGTGTTCTATGGTGTTTTAAGCTCTTTATAAACATTAACATTAAATTTTCATTACAGTTCTCTGTAGTGGGTAGTATTAGTATTCTCATTTTACAAATGAGACAGCCGAGTAACTTGCCCCAGGTTATCCAGTCAGTGAGAAGGGAGACTGTTATTGGATTGTGGGCTCTTATCCGTGTGTGTGTGTGTGTGTGTGTGTGTGTGTGTGTGTGTGTTTGTGTTTTCATCTTGCATTTGGGATTTCCTTGGAGGTTTAGGATTATATACAGCCAGATTTCATGACAATAGAGTAGGCCTGGGACCTGTGGCTCCCTTCTGTGAGAATTTCTTCTCTTTTTCCTTCACATTTAATTGCGTGTTTAATTTGTATAAATGGAATGTGTTTAATCTAATTTTACTGAATTATGTGTTTCTCTTGGTCCTGCTAGACTTTCTGTAAATTGCTTGAAGCAAGAAACTGGCAGATAGATCCATCTGACAAATAAGTAAAAGAGTATGGTTTATTGCAAATTCTAAGACTATTAGATCAGTTTACTAGAAATTGAGGCTTTTCCCTCCTTTGTGGGACTGCGTAATAGTTTAATTTAGCTGTTTATAAATGTTTAATTGTATTCTAAACAATAGGACTGCCGAACAATAGGTCATAATGTATTGGAATAATAAAACTCTGGGAGGCAACACTATTTAAAACCTAGCATATTCAATATATGTGTGCCTTGAGGACAAAGTCTTGAGGCTACAATAGATTCTATTCTTATAGGGGTAGTAACGTGATGTTTCTGCTTGATAATTCTACATCTCAGGGAACTTGTGATTATTTGAGGTTACAATGCTTATTTTCTCTCATAATCCTCAAGGAGATTCTGATTAGTTTCTCAGAGAAATGCTCTGTATTCTTCAAATCTCAATGTCTAGTCATTTGTAGCCTGCACACTGTCTAGAACCCTCACCATTCCTTCCATCTCAACCTTTTCAGTGCTCCAAACATTTCCTTACTATTCTAAAGCTACTTCTGAAATCCCACTTCTTCCGTGAATTTTTCAGTTCATTAACAGAGAAATGATCTGGCCTCATCTTTACTTCTCCTTAGCATTCAGGAATGAAGCTTAAGGAACATCCAATATACTTTTTCACTGTAGTTTTAATGGACTGATTTATTCTGTACATGAAAACGAATGTGAATCTCTCAGTGTTATGCTTTGTATTATGAGCAGTGAGCTTGTTTAGCACAGTAAGCATCACCTGTTCCATTCGTCACTGGGCCTTGTTTAAGAGAGTCCATCACGTGTGGATTAATATGAAAGAAAATGTTATTACATTTGTATTTGGTTGCTTGGACTGCCATAACAAAGCTCCATAGACTGGGAGGCTGGAACAACAGAAATTTGTCTCATCACCATTCTGGAGGCTGGAAGTCTGAGATCGAGGTGTCAGCAGGGTAGGTTTCTTCTGAGGCCTCTCTCCTTGGTTTACGATGACCGTCTTTTCCGTGTCTTCACATATCTTTCTTCTGTGTGTGTCTGTGTTGTAATCTCCTCTTCCAATAAGGACACAAGTCATATGGATGGAGCCCACCTTAACGATGTCATTTGAACTTAATCCTTCTTTAAGGATTCTCTCTCCAAATGCATTCCAGGGTACTGAGGGTTAGGATTGTAACATACGAATTTTGTGGGGACACAGTTTAGCCATAACAGGCTTTAAATATATAACATAGTTGTCCTAAACTTGTATGACAAACTAAAACAAAAAAATTCTTTTTAAAGCTTAAAAGTAGGCTAGGGAGGACAGCGTCCTGAGAGAGAGGAGAAGATCATGATCAGGCTTAGAACTGGCTAAGTGATTCTGGGTAAACTTCACAGTAATTTCTGTTTTGTCTGTGTTTTCTCAGTTTTTTGTACTCATTGGGATCTGAAGTGCCTTTTAAGTGACTCTAAGATTCTGTAATTCTATTTTAATAACTGTCTTGTGGTTAGACTTTACTGCTCATTTAAGAAGTTGCTGGAGAAGAATTTTTATAATCCTGGGTTATTATGTCATGTTTGCGAGAAAATGCAGAAGAACGAGGCTGTGTCCAACAGACCCTAACTTGCATTTGACCTCTTTTCTTCTGCATCAGCCCTTTTCTTGGCATCTGACCAGCTATATGACTGTGGACAGGTTATGTATCCTCGGTGAGCCTTAATTCTTTCATCCACAAGATGGGAACAAAATAGTTAGGAGGCTGTCCTTCAATCTTGTCCCTTGGCATGGTTGCCTGCTACAGATAGATACCGCCCCCCCTGCAGATGATTGATTCTGAGTGTCCTGGTGCTGAGGTTGCATTTGCAGCCCAGGTAGGGTGTCGGTCTCAACACCTGCTGACTTGCCTGGCCTCCACTGCCTGCCCGACTCACATGCCATGAAGGCCACCTGTAGCTCAAGGCTGTCAGAGCGGAGCTGGGTTTATATCAATATTCCCAACCTCGCTTGCTTTGTAATGTCTAGCCCCTGGGCTAGACAGATGTCATTTCAGGGAGGATGAGTTGGGTTCCAAATGGTTACCATAGATTTTTTTTTTATTACTTCCTCTTCCTATATTTAATAGCCCCAAATGGTTATCAGAAAACTACTGTTTTTCCTGTCTTATTAGGAGGAAAATGGTGAACATTTGTAGGGCAGAGATGTAGTTTAGCCTCACACATCAGATTTTAATATCCACAGACTTTAGTAATCCAAAAAGTAAGTGCTAGCTCACAGAGATACCCACATGACACAGGTTTTGTGAGGGTGAAATGAAATAAATGTGTGCGTGTGTGTGTGCGTGTGTGCATGTATGGGCATGTGTGTGTGTGCACGTGTGTGTGTGTGTGCATGTGCGTGCGTTTGGTGGGGAGGGGGCAGCAGCATGCTTTCTACATACTTTTCCAGTTAAATTGAGTGTTCATTCTTTGTGTTGGGATTGAGTTTATATAACTCGGGTCTTTTAAAACACCAAGGTGACTTTTATTATTAGGCTTGAATAGATCAATTGATTCAGGGTAAAATGTTATTCCAGTAAAACTATTAAAACAAGTTCTCTGTACAGGAATCATAATTCTCAAGTTCTGTTTGGCTTACTCATTTTAGTCAATATATACAAGCATTAAAATATGGCACTTTTGGCCATAATGTTTGACCTGGAAAAATTGCCATAAGCGAACCCATTTACCATGCCTTTTTATATGGTTCTACTGCTGGTATCCGTCTCCTTTAGAGTCTTTTTCAGTTGTGAGGGACAGAGATTCGATACAAACAAGCTTAATCTAAAAAGAAAACTTATTTAAACTTAAGTGAAAGATTCTAGGGCTAGAAGTATCTTTATTAAGCAAAGTTATATCCAGGGGTATATAGGATATTATTGGGGTATTTTCTCTCTCTCTTTCTCAAATGAATTTATTCTCAGAAAACTGATGAGAAAAATGACTGCCAGCATTGCCAAGGTTTATCTTTTGACTTCTGATTGGAAGGTAAAAAAGAGCTTCTCAGTTCTTGTGGCCATATATCAAATATCAAGGAAGATTTTGATTGGTTCTGCTTGAGTCACACGTCCATCCCTAAACCTATGACTGGCTGGTGTATAGAGCCCTACAGGAGACCTGGCCATGTGCCACCCACTGTGGCAAGGCGTCTTGAGTGGCAAGCTCCCTGGGATTACATGGGATGGGAGGGATGATGTCCCAAAAGAAGGGTTGCTTAGCAAACAGACAACATGTCTGGTCTAGATAATTAGAGTTTTAAGTCAGCAGGGGTTTGGCGTTTATTCCTTTAGTTTACAGGGAATGAAAAGGTAACTATCATAAAAGTCTGCTGGATCACTTGAGAATGTTAAGCTGCACTTGAAAATCTGTTTGAGATGTCATGCAAAGGTGCCCATTAGGTGGAGTAGGCCTCACATGGATAATCAGATAGTAGCATCACAATTGGTGATTGCTGAGATTGATGTGACATGCGGGCAGTTTGGTGGGGGTAAAGGAACAGAATGACAATAATGGGACTTCTGGTTGTTTTCGGCAGGGTTGGATGACTGCCTGCAACAATATGTCCACAAGTTTGAACGGGAGAAGATCAATGGCGAGCAGCTGCTGCAGATTTCCCATCAGGATCTGGAGGAGCTGGGGGTCACGCGGATCGGACACCAGGAGCTTGTGTTGGAGGCTGTGGACCTTCTCTGTGCACTGGTTAGTTCAGGAGAAGGTGATCTGTACCGTGATGACATTCTTTAGAGCCTTGTTCTCTTAAGCTCTCATTGTTTGTGATTTAGCATATCACTGTTTTCTTAATGCTCCATTGAAATAAAACATGAGCCGAAGATACTATAGGAAGGGGAAAAAATGAATTATTTTCTACATTAAGGGTTGGCAAACTATGGCCTGTGAGTTAAATCTGGCCCGCTATCTGTTTTTGTAAATAAAGTTTTATTGGAACACAGCCATGTCCATTCACTTATGTGTTTGTGGCTGCTTTCTTGCTACAGTGAGAATTGAGTAGTTGTAACAGAATCACATGGTTCCCCCAAAGCCTAAAATATTTATTAACTTTTCCTTTACAGAAAGAGTTTGTCTTTTTCAGAAAATCTCTGTATTAGTCTAAGTTAGTCTAGTTTTCTTTTATAAGGAAAAAACGTTGGAAATAGTCCTGAATGAAAATGTCACCTTCTGGTCAGGCGCAATGGCTCACGCCTATAATCCCAGCACTCTGGGAGGCCGAGGCGGGTGGATTGCTTGAGTCCGGAAGTTTGAGACTAGCCTGGGCAACGTAGCAAAACCCTGTCTCTATTAGAAATACAGAAAGTTAGCTGGGTGTGGCTAGCATGCACCTATAGTCCCAGATATTCAGGAGGCTGAGTTCAGAGAATCACGTGAGCCTGGGAGGTGGAGGCTGCAGTGAGCAGAGATCACACCACAGCACTCCAGCCTGGGCGACAGAGTGAGACCCTGTCTCAAAAAAGAAAAGAAAATGTCATCTTCTAAATTGAAGTGAGAAATAGGTTCTGATTTTCATGTCTGGTTTTGTTACTATAAAAAGCGGTTGAGTTTCACAGATATTTATGATATTTAAATAACTGATATTTGCACTTGACATGACCTATGAAATGGGAAAAAAACGTGGCCTTCATTACATTTTGTAGGTGATGGATTTTGGCTTTAACACGAATGAGTAAAATCCTGCTGGGTCCTGACACTAGAATCACATGGGTAGCTTTGTTAGGTGTGGGCCAAAAACACCTGTAAGGACATTTTGTTTATACATTGGTTAGTGTGGGTGGGATTCAAGTCTGCCTGCCCCGGTGCCAGGCTAAAGATGCAGTTTACTTAACTGTCAGGATTTGGACAAACTCGACAGCATTCAGGCTGGGTTAGTAATGCCCTGAACCCCAGCCAGGGGTATATACAATTACATCACTGAGAATGGTGGGAAAGAATGTGCTGCTGATGATTTTGCCATCGCTGGTCTGCGTACTGTTGATTATATAACACTTGCTGCATTGTGTGTATTCTTCTTCTTAAAATGGACAGAGCCTTGTCTTCTGCTCTGAGATGCACTGCTCTTGTTTAGGAAAGTAATGGGGAAATTATTTGTAGTTGATAAATGAGCCGCCGCCTGGGAGACGCTACAGCCAAGTAGTCTGAGCACGGGTCTGGGAAGCAGGAATTTGCATTCTAATCCTGGCTCTGCTACATCCTTCTCCCTCTGTGACCTCCGGGGAAATGGTGGTGTCTGTTTTTCCCATCTGTACAGTAACGCTCACCTTAGATGTGGCTGTGCACTATTGTGTAAGTGCTTTGCACTGCCCAGACGTCTAAGCATCCTGTTTATTACTGAAACTGTATTTTTTTTTTTTTGTACAAACATGTTTGAGTTTACTTTTATTATACTTTCTGGGAACATGGCTTTTCCGTCTTTTCTGCTTGATGTTTTGCAAATTGTCTCTTTCACTTTGCAGTAATACTTGGAGGACAGGTAAATTTACTTGGAAATCCAAAGTAAGAGAGGCAGGGCAGAAGGGTCAGCTAGAGATGCATCATGTACATTGGGTGGGATGACAAATATAACAGGTGCCCCTGGGCATTCTCTCTGCTTTTTCCTCTTGTCTACCTCTTAGAGCATTAGACTAAAATGAACAAAGCTGGACAAATGCCAGAACCTAAAGCTGTGTTTTATCTCCTACAATTTCCTTCTAATTTCCTTTGCAGACCAAGCTTTGACCTCAGACTCATTCTGGACCTGCTCTGTACCAGTGACTGCATTGGACAGGGGGGTCACGTAGGGGTTCACAAAAGTGTGTGGATTATTTTAGTGAGTTTTACTAAAATGTCTTTAGTCTTGATATAATCTCCTTTTTGAATATTCTTATAATTCATATACTAATTATACTATCTTTTTAATCCATTTGTAGCATATAGATCTTTGGATGTATAAATTGGTGCTGCTTTGAACAGACCATCTCCAGGGCAGTCGATGTATAAATGCAGTTGGCCTTGGTGTTATAAAAGAGGTTTCTATGTAAACTTAGTTTAGTGGATGTTGATTTTATGATAGACAGGAAATGAATAGAATTAAAGGTAAGGAAGGGGGAGGGGAGAAACAAAACCACTGGAAAGTATCAATGCAAAGAGAGGGGCAGATAGATGGACAGGAACCTAAAATAGGAAACATTATTATATAATAATAATAAATAGGAAACAATCTTATAAACATTAATATAAAATATTAATGAAGATTCCAAAACTGGTGAGCAGTGGCTCACAAATTAGCTGGTCGTGGATAGACAGCAATGAGAGAAACCGCCCTTCGTGAATATTGTCTTTGACTGGCAGTCGTGGCTTAGGAGAGTGATTTGTATCATACGATGAGACCAGGGCCACCTTCCAGGATTGAATTAGAATCTGTATCCAGTTTTTCTTCCTCTCTCTGGGTAGAGGGTATCTGAGACCGATTATAGAGCTGCTCTTTTCAGTAGGATAGCTGTTATCCAATGTGACTGTCTAAATGAAAATCAACTAAAGTAAAATAAAATTCAGTTCCTCGGTTGTACTAGCAACACTCCAAGTGCTCAGAAGCTCCCTGTGGCTAGTGGCTACGATATTGGACAGCACAGAAAAAGAACATTTTCATCTTTGCATAGAGTTCTGTTGGCCAGTACTGGTTGAGAGGATGTGATTGAGAATAACCAGTAAGAATAACCAATGAGGGTAAGTGTGACTGTGGCCAGGCACGGTGGCTCACGCCTGTAATCCCAGCACTTCGGGAGGCCGAGGCGGGTGGATCACAACGTCAGGAGATCGAGACCATCCTGGCTAACACGGTGTGAAACACTGTCTCTACTAAAAATGCAAAAAATTAGCTGGGCATGGTGGCGGGCACCTGTAGTCCCAGCTACTCGGGAGGCTGAGGCAGGAGAATGGTGTGAACCCAGGAGGTGGAGCTTGCTGAGATCACGCCACTGTTCTCCAGTCTGGGTGACAGAGCGAGACTTCGTCTCAAAAAAAAAAAAAAAGGATAAGTATGACTATAACCTGTGTTCTTTGCCAAGTCAGTGAGGCCCAGTTTACTGAACACCAAGGCATGGGCAGCTGTGTTTTGAAGGTTGAAGGAGGTTGAGAAGTGAACAGTTGGAATTGATACATGTGTTAAATGATGCTACCTAGACTTGGGGTTAAATGAAGTGCCTGTAATGAATCTATGGGCCTAGAGTGCATATGCACACTGGCATACCTCTGAGATTATTCGTTGCTTATTGTTTACCCATGGCAAATCATTTAAACGTGTTATCTTTTTTATGAGAAGAAATGCAGGAACAGGAATTTTTGCTGGCAAATTATATTTAACTTGATCTTGCTTATGAGCTTATTTAAAAATGCCTTAGGAAGACTGTGAACTATATTTCTTAGGCTGTCTCTTAATTGACCCAAGTCAATAAGATGACTTTGATTTTGTGTCTCTGGCACACCTTAATCACACATGTTAGATCACAAACAGAGCTAGTAGGAATGGATAAGATGGTAGAGAAGTTGTATAAGGTTTGTCCTTAGCTAAATGTGTATAATTTTAAGACTCTTTTTGCTTTCCTTTTCTCTCATTTAGTGTATGATTCCTCTAGCCAGATCAGGAAAGGATCCCTGATGGTGAACCCTAGGAAGTGAGATCTCTGTGGAAGGGTTTTAGTATGTGAATAGATTTTCAGAAACTCACTTTGTATCTTTTTTTTTTTTTTTTTGAGACGGAGTCTCGCTCTGTCGCCCAGGCTGGAGTGCAGTGGCCGGATCTCAGCTCACTGCAAGCTCCGCCTCCTGGGTTCACGCCATTCTCCTGCCTCAGCCTCCCGAGTAGCTGGGACTACAGGCGCCCACCACCTCGCCCGGCTAGTTTTTTGTATTTTTTTTAGTAGAGACGGGGTTTCACCATGTTAGCCAGGATGACCTGACCTCGTGATCCGCCCGTCTCGGCCTCCCAAAGTGCTGGGATTACAGGCTTGAGCCACCGCGCCCGGCCACTTTGTATCTTAATCTGTATCTTTTTGATGCCTTATCTCGAAGCAGTTTCTGAAGGAGACAGGTTTTGGGGAAAAGACTGGTGAAAATAATTAATCTGGTCTGAGAAATTATTTATTTTTGGTGTTTCCTTGTGGGGCACTTAAGTCAATAATCCCTTCCTGATTATGCTTCTACAGTAGAGGTTCTTTTGAGCTAATATAATCAGTTTCTTGTTCTCTCTTTAATGTGGAATGGGGTCGAAGGGAAGGAACTTTCCTTTTCCTCCTTCCTTCTTTTAAAAATTCTATTCTAGCTATATTTATTCATCTTTCTAGGTCCATTATTTGTTTTGGGGGAAAAAAAGAGCAAACTGAGTGGAAAATGAAGAGAACCAGTTACAAGAAGCCACTCTCCCCCTTTATTTCAGTATTAAAAGTGGTACGTTTTTAGAAGATGGGGGTTTAAAGTTTCTTGCAACAATAAAATGCACTTAATCCTCTTTGAGTTCAACAAGTAAACATTATGTATATGGTCATAAAAGTTCCAAGTAATTTATGGTGACATTGGTTATTGAAAGCTGAGTTTCCTGCTTTTAGTTCGAAACACTTCATGTAAGTTGGCAGGCTGAGAAACTGACTGAATGAGGGGGTCCTTCCCTTTCATCATAGTTACAAGTCCTTCAAAACAAGCTCTGTCTTGTGGCCTCTTTATCCATTGAATTGTGAGTCTTTGATTCTTTGAATTTAAAAAGCTATGATGGAGATCCATCTTATTTTTGTCTCTCTATTGGAGGACAAGATTATATTTTAGTCTCTAGAAAATAACATAAAAAATGAATATCACATTTAGATAGAAAAATACTGCCAATATAGAATATTCATTTATATTTTGAAATTCAGTTTTTTTTCAAAAGCTTGGAAGAGAAACTTTTCAGCTAATTTTTGCTTCTTTCAAAATTTCTAATCTTTTAAATATTATTTTTTATTTTACTAGGAGGTAACATAAATTTAAACTTCAAGTAAAATCTATTTAAAATTAGAATTGTTTTGTTAAAGTCAATGCCTTTTGTTGTGGTTTTTAACTTACCATTGTTCATCTTGCAAAAAAAAAAAAGTTTCTTACATACTTCCGAGTATATTTATGCTTTATGTATCTTGATTTTGACACATGACTTGCCTCTTTCTGGCCCACATGGCTAAAGCCAGCTGAAAGAAGTTTCTCCACAGCCGGGTGCAGTGGTTCATGCCTGTAATCCCAGCACTTTGGAAGGCTGTGGCGGGCAGATCATGAGGTCAGGAGATGGAGACTATCCTGGCCAACATGGTGAAACCCCATCTCTACTAAAATATTCAAAGATTAACTGAGCATGGTGGTACTTGCCTGTAATCCCAGCTATTTGGGAGGCTGAGGCAGGAGAATGGCTTGAACCAGGGAGTCAGAGGTTGCAGTGAGTCGAGATCATGCCGCTGCACTCCAGCCTGGTGACAGAGTGAAACTCCGTCTCAAAAAAAAAAAAAAAAAGTTTCTCCACTTCAGAGGGGATGTGTAGAATTTTGAGAAGCAGAATAGCTATTCAGCTTGTGCTGGATCCAGGATCGCTGGACAGTTTTCCTTATCCTTGTCTAATGTCCATCTTGTCATCTGTCTTATCATGTGGCCCTTTTTTGGGCAGGTTGTGTGGAAGGGGACATACACAGCAGAGAGAGTAATCAAAAGCTTGTGCCCTAGATGCAGATTGCCTTGGTCAGAAGCCCAGCACTACCGCTGATTAGCTTTGTAACTTCAGAGAATTTATTTACTGTTTTCATGCCTCAGTTTCCTTAGTGGTAAATTAGAGATAAAAACATTTCTACCTTCTTGGGCTGTTTTCCTGAGATAATACACGTCAAACACTGAGTCCAATTCCTCGCATAAAGTGTTCAATAATGTTAAGTATTCTGTTAGTCTCGGTTTTTAAATGGTACCAGATTCTTGCCTTGGGATGCTATTGAGACAGCATAATCTATCTCAAGAAATATGTTTTTTTTTTTTAAAAATGATAAAACAATTTAGGACACACAGAGGCAATTGAATACAGAAATTTGTACCCCACCTCTAATGTCACAGACTTATGTGTTATTTCCCAGGATTGGCTCTTTTCTCTGAAAGGGAGTCTAGGACAGTATTAGCTTATGAAATTGATTTTTTTGAAGCACCCATGTAAGCTGAACGGTGTTCAAAAAGAACACAGGTTAGAAGCACAAGAGCAAGAAATTAATTTTATGATTGATTGAGACAGGGTCTCTCTCTGTCACCCAGGCTGGAGTACAGTGGCACGATCATAGCTCACTGCAGCCTCAACCTCCTGGGCTCAAGCGATCCTCCTACCTCTTGAGTAGCTGGGAGTACAGACAGGAGCCACATCTTCAAGCTCAGGAGATCACGCTTAGTGAATTGGTGTTTAGTTAGTGCTGCTGTGTTTTTTTCTTTTTTGTGAGTATCTTGCCTGGTGGAAATCCACGCACTCCATGACTATATGATTGTCCGCTGTGCTGGAAATACCATAGTGGGCATACTCACAGAGCCCTGCTTCTGTAGTCCTCACATTCCAGTGGAGGAAGAAGGCCGCAAACACGGTGCTTCAGATGGGGCAGAAGTGGGTGATGGGCTAGAGAGTGAATCGAAGGGGCGATTCTGCCACCAGGGGACACAGGGCGATATTGGGAGACATTTTTTATTGTTACACCGGGGGAGGAGGTGCTACTGCCATCTGATGGGTAGAGAGCAGGGATGCTGATAAACATCCTGTAATACACGGAGACCCCCAACCCCACAAGCATTATCTGGCCCCAAATGTCAGTAGGACTGAGATTGAGAAACCTTGTTCTAGATTAAGTAAGTGATCAGGGAAGCCTTGCAGGGGAAGGGACATTTGGGTCAGCACCTGAGTGATAGCAATGAGTTGTTGGCTGGGCTCGGTGGCTGACGCCTGTAATCCCAGTACTTTGTTTTTTTTTGTTTTTTGTTGTTGTTGTTGAGACGGAGTCTTGCTCTGTCGCCCAGGCTGGAGTGCTGTGGCTGGATCTCAGCTCACTGCAAGCTCCGCCTCCCGGGTTTATGCCGTTCTCCTGCCTCAGCCTCCCAAGTAGCTGAGACTACAGGCGCCGGCCACCTCGCCCAGCTAGTTTTTTGTATTTTTTTAGTAGAGACGGGGTTTCACTGTGTTCGCCAGGATGGTCTCGATCTCTTGACCTCGTGATCCGCCTGTCTCGGCCTCCCAAAGTGCTGGGATTACAGGCTTGAGCCACTGCGCCCAGCCAATCCCAGTTCTTTGGGAGGCTGAGGCGGGCAGATTGCCTGAGCTCACAAGTTCAAGACTAGCCTGGGCAACACGGTGAAATCCCCTCTCTACTAAAAATACAAAAATTAGCCCGGCGTGATGGTGTGCGCCTGTAATCCCAGCTATTCAGGAGACTGAGGCGGGAGAATCTCTTGAACCCATGAACCCGGGAGGAAGAGGTTGCAGTGAGCTGAGATGGCGCCACTGCACTCCAGCCTGGGTGACACAGTGATACTCCATCTGAAAAAATAAAATAAAAATTAAAAAAGAATGAGCTGTCCACGACAAGATTTGTAGGAGGAGCATTTGGGGCAGAAGAACTATGAAGAACAAAGTCCCTGAGGCCGGAGTGGCTGTGGAAGGAGCAGAGAGAAGGCTGGTATGGCTGGGATGAGTGAAGTGTGCTGGGGATAGATCACACAGGGTTTTGTGGTTGTTGTAAGAGTTTTTCAAGTGACTAACTGGGCTTTTGTGTTATCAGAGAGTTTGAATATTGTTTTTTGTTTGTTTGTTTGTTTTTATTGTGAGACAGAGTCTGGCTCTGTTGCCCAGGCTGGAGAGCATTGGCGCAATCTTGGCTCACTGGTTCACGCCATTCTCCTGCCTCAGCCTCCCGAGTAGCTGGGACTACAGGCACCCATCACGCCTGGCTAATTTTTTGTATTTTCAGTAGAGACGGGGTTTCACTGTGTTAGCCAGGATGGTCTCGATCTCCTGACCTCGAGATCCACCCACCTCAGCCTCCCAAAGTGCTGGCATTACAGGCGTGAGCCACTGCGCCCCACTGAAAATTGTTAATTGTTTTGAATTTTTTCCCTTTGATTTTATTTTCCACAGAATTATGGCCTTGAAACTGATAACATGAAGAACTTGGTTCTGAAACTGAGAGCATCCTCCCACAATTTACAGAATTACATAAGTAGCCGGCGGAAAAGTCCCGCTTACGATGGAAACACCTCCCGCAAGGCCCCCAATGAGTTCCTGACCTCTGTGGTGGAGCTCATCGGCGCCGCCAAGGCCCTGCTGGCCTGGCTGGACCGGTAAGTTGGAGATGTGCCTTTCACTGCCCTGCAAGAGTAGCGTCCAAGCTGCATGGTAGCTGTGCTTTGTGTTAGGGAAAGGAACCATTGTTGTTTCCGTATCATTTTTGCCGGCTCTTTTTTTTTTTTTTTTTTTGAGACGGAGTCTGGCTGTGTCGCCCAGGCTGGAGTGCAGTGGCTGGATCTCCGCTCACTGCAAGCTCCGCCTCCCGGGTTCACGCCATTCTCCTGCCTCAGCCTCCCCAGTAGCTGGGACTACAGGCGCCTGCCACCTCGCCCGGCTAATTTTTTTATATTTTTAGTAGAGATGGGGTTTCACCATGTTAGCTGGGATGGTCTCGATCCCCTGACCTCATGATCTGCCCGTCTCGGCCTCCCAAAGTGCTGGCATTACAGGCGTGAGCCACCGCGCCCAGCCTTTTACCAACTCTTAAGGAGTCCTTGATCGGTGGTAGATTTTAGGATTCCTTTGCCAGTTACTTAAACGGTTAATAGCAGGAACAAATTAACTTCAGCTTAGAGAAGAGTGAAATTGTGCTAAAGGTTGTGTTTTACTGAGATTAAATATTAATGGCTGAGGATTTGATTGGTATGAAAGCTGTTAGTTGACTTCAGAAGGGATGTTAACTGTCATTTTTGATTTGTTTTTTTTATCTAGTCCTCTCTTGCTATTCAGATTCCTATTTTATGTGTTACTTGAGAGAAACCAGTTAAATAAAAAGCAATTTAATACAAAACTTAGCCAGGCGTGGTGGCGCATGCCTGTAATCTCAGTTACTCGGAAGGTTGAGGCAGGAGAGTTGCTTGAACCCAGAAGGCGAAGGTTGCAGTGAGCCAAGATTATTCCACTGCACTCTAGCCTTGGCAACAGTCTCAAACAAAACAAAACAAAACAGAAAAGAATTTAGAGTAGCCCATGGGGTAGCTATACTTACCAACATGCAGTGGGATCCCAGTGGATTCTCCCTATGCCTTTTAAGAGGATTGTTGTTACCTTCCAGGGCTCCCTTTACAGGGATCACTGATTTCTCAGTCACGAAGAACAAAATTATCCAGCTTTGCTTGGACCTGACCACTACAGTCCAGAAGGTCAGTAGTATGTCATTTTCGCTTTCTAATTTTTTTTTTTCCTGCTCTTCCTCTTCTTGAAAGGATTTTCATGCAGGTGCGAAGTACAACTCTCCTCTCCCCACCTCAGTTTTTTTCCCATCAGAATTGGGGAGAGATGAAAGGCTTTAAATTAGATCCATTGTAAAGATGGTTTCTGTGAAGACTGACCAGTGGCCTTTGAATTAAAGATTACCTTTTTGTGTGTTTTAAAATAGTCAAACTAATAATTCCTGTATTTCCCCTAAAATGTTAGAACACTTAATTTTTTTTAATGAAATTTCTGGAGTAACTAAGTTGCATGATAGTCTTTGTTCTGAGTACTTTACTGTATCTGCTTCTTAATTTTCTTTTCATTTTGGCCTCTCGTTTTTGGATTTACCAGTCAGGATGGGCTAGGTTGTGGTGCAGTAGCAAACACCCCCCCAAACCTCAAACCTCGGCAGTTTATTCCTTGATTATTTACATCCAAATGGGTCAGGGGCAGGGGACAGTCAGCTCTGACTTTCCTCATTTCAAAATGTATAGGACATAGATTGACAGAATCACTGTTATATCATGTTGCTTGTCCCCAAGGCAGAGAAGTAAAAATCGTGAAGGTCCACACACTGACTGATGTTCTGAATTGCAAGTGACACATGTCAGTTTCACTCATGGCTCATTGCCCAGACCTAGGTATCTTAGTAAAGGCTCAGGAAGTTTTATATTAGCCAGTCTGTAACTGACTGAGCTTCTGTGATCTTAACTTTAAAAAAAAAATTCTTCTTCTACCATCAGCTCTTAGGACTACCTTCTGTCCTGTTACTTGGCATGCAGCAGATGCTTGTCAAATATTTCTGAAATGAATTGAGGCTATGAAATGTAAGGAAGAGCTGCTTGTTTTTTCATGTCCCACTTGGTTCTAAAATTCTGTGTTTCCACATTTGTTTCTACTGCTGATTTGGCAAAGCAAAGAACATCCTCCCTTCTGTCCTGACCGTGCCATTACAGAGATGCAGTTCTGAAAAGCCGTGCGTTTTCTGGTTGTTTCTGGAATGTCAATTGTGAACTTTGTCTCTGCACGTGGCAGTTGTTTGCTCTCGTCCTGAGCAGCCATTGTTCTCAAGGCACATGGATTTTTGAGGTCGTGATCTTAGAAAGGTGCTCAGAGCAACTAAAGTAGCTTCTGAGTTTTTGCTCTTTTTTATGATGCATAAAGTAATTTTGACAAAAAAGAGTCTGATACCAGTTGTGATGCGTTAGTCATACAGCTATGAAGGCATGGCATTTGTGGTTGAAGGCATATCCCTGATACCTACCTTGAGTGTCCTTTTTTTCCCTTGCTTCCCTCTTCCCATAATATTTTGCTCATATTTTGATTTTTTTTTTTAATTTTTAAGAGACAGGGTCTTACTCTGTTGCTTGGGTTGAAGTGCAGGGGTGTAATCATGATTCACTGTAGCCTCAGCCTCCTGGCTCAAGCAATCCTTCCACCTTAGCCTCCTGGATAGCTGGGACTACAGGTGCATGCCACCATGCCCAGCTTGTTTTTAAATTTTTTGTAGAAACAGGGTCTTGCTATGTTGCCCAGGCTGGTCTCAAATTCCTGGCCTCAAGTAATTCTCCTGCCTCGACCTCCCAAAGCACTGAGAGGCATAAGCCCACTGCACCTGGCCCTATTTTGATTTTTAACCGAGTTTACTAGCAATCAATTAAATGAAAGAGGTAAATATTGTGATTAGCAAATGGGAAAGTTTTGCTTGTTGGTACACTTGTGTTTTATTGTGAAGGGTCCTTGACTGTGTGGCTGATTGAGGCTGTCCCCACTGCAGTGTAGGGAGAGGAGAGAAAGGGATGAAAGTAAAGGCAGAGGGGGTCGTGTTTGTTTCATGGGGTGAACTTCTGTCTAAGCAAGTTGATGTTGGCTTTCTAGGTATTTGGACACTTCTTTCAATACATTTTTGTTTAGCACTTACTCTGTGTCTGCTGCCCTGGGATACCAGAGTGAATAAACAGATGAAAAGTCCCTGACCTTCTGGATCTTACAGTCTCTGGGAGAGAGAAAATGGATTGATAAGCAAACTTTTATATATGAATATATGTGGTTATATAAAGGTAAAGCAATGCTAGGGAGGGAAGGTGCACAGGAAGGAGTGAGGATACAGTTTGAGATACGTGCCTGGAGTCACCTCCTTGAGAAGGTGACACTTGAGTAATTCAGCCAGGAGAAGTCTATGCTTGTCTGATGGGATGGGCTTATGCATCATCTCAAGTGCTACTTTTCCTGGTAATTGGAGAGAGGGGTCGATCGTTAGGAACTGATGATGACAAAAAAAAAAAAAAAAATCTCCCCGTAGCAAATACACGTCCTGATCTGGTCACATCACAAGGGTACCTGTGAGCATCCTCATTGCGCCTGCCCAGCTTATTGAGGCTTAAGAATGCCTGGGACATGATGAATGGTGATTTTTAAAATGTGTGTTGTATGAATGAAATAATGCTTTGGAAAGTTAGGCTGCTGAGAATGGCTTTTATCAGAACTCAAGGGACACAAGAGGTATTAGTTTTGTTTCTACGTTCATTTTCTGTTTCTCTTTTTCCCGTGGTGCTCACCGAGGGAGGTTAGTCTAGTGGTTAAGAGCATATTCTTCACCGACAGCTATAGGTTCAAATCCTACCTCTACACATTAATTAGCCCTGGGGCCTTGGACAAGTCACTTACAAGTTTTGAACCTCAATTTTCTCATTTGCAAAATGGGAATACAGATATTTACCTTATCAGATAATTTGGTGGGATTTCTACAAGTTAATGTTGAGTAAAAAAAAAAAAAGGCAAAAAAGTAAGTGTGGTATGAAGATAAATGGTTACCATAAATACCTAAAATGCACGTGTGTGTGTGTTTGTGTGTGTATGTATAAAACATACATCCTATGCAAACTTGTATACAAGTTAATATGTAAATACAGTGGACAGTTTGGAAAAAAAGTTGTATTTACTCTGGCAGGGGGAGAAATAGGGAGGGAATGTAGGAGCCAAGCCAAAAAAAGAGAACAAAAGTTTTTTATTTACAAAAATCATGTATATGACCACATTTATGTAAAATGAGATAGAGATAAATAATATAAAATACTTAAAATAATACCTACTCCAAAAGATTGTTATGCAGATTAAATGAGATAAACATGTGGGCCGGGCGCAGTGGCTCATGCCTGTAATCCCAGCACTTTGGGAGGCCGAGGCGGGCGGATCACGAGGTCAGGAGATCGAGATATAACATGTGAAAAGCACAGTGCCTGCTTCAGAAGGAGTAGACTGTGGGAGGAAATACAAAAATCTTACCTTGTACTTGTTTTCTGAAATCAAATTTGATAGTTTGAGGCGAAGAACTGGACAAATATATTGCCCTCATCCTCTGGTATTTTTTTATTTTAAATTTGAACAGTTTTGAAGCAGTAAGACTGATACATAAATACATATCAGGATATCATTTTCTGAACTTAGATTGAAAAATATGTTTCTTAACAAGTGCTGTTGACAAGCACATGTTCTCTAGTAATTGAAGTGCATAGCCGGGCGTGGTGGCTCACGTCTGTAATCCCAGAACTTTGGGAGGCCGGGGCGGGTAGATCACCTGAGGTCAGGAGTTCGAGACTAGCCTGGCCAATATGGCGAAACCCCATCTGCACTAAAAATACAAAAATTAGCTGGGCATGGTGGCAGGCACCTATATGTCCCAGCTACTTGGGAGGCTAAGGCAGGAGAATCACTTGAACCCGGGAGGTGGAGGTTGTAGTCAGCCAAGATTGTTCTACTTCACTCCAGCCTGGGCGAAAGAATGAAACTCCGTCTCAAACAAAACAAAACAAAGAACGAACATAGGTGCTTTGGCAAATGGTGATGTTTGCGCCCATGTGCGCTCAGATACACGAATTAGAAATCACAAACTCGATGAATGATTTGAGTGTGGCTTACCCCAGGTGCATTGTGGTGGTAGCAATGAGACTGAACGTGCCAGGGAAGTTCACATTCTCTTGCAGCTGCTTGACAGAAGATCTGTTGACTGGGAAGACATCTGTCTTTGCCATTTACTCCTTTTAACTGGGGAATTGGAGAAATAAAAGTTGTATTTCTTTCCAGACAAAGAACATGTTCTGCCTGAGCCTTTATTCTTGGTGTCCCTGTGAAGAGACATCTGCTTGTCCCGTCTCTCTTCTACATCTTGCCGTCCCCCCTTCTTCTTTTGTAGTGACATCCTTTTCCTTCCATCCATCTCTGCATCCTTTCTTCCAATAATAATTTATGAGTCCTCTAATTTGAAGGATACATATTGCTGCTGCTTTTCTCCTGCAAGGAAATCGCACATTTCTTTTAAGAAGTTTCTTCATTTCTTAACATTTGTTTAGCTGTCATCCTATACCAAGTATAAGGATAGAGCTTCCCATTCAGTGTTGAGGCTGTAATTTGAGATGAAGGACCCCAAGGTGGGAAGGGATTGAGATCTGCATTTCCATTGTAGTCTCCTCATGTCGTGATGCCATGAAAACTGAAATAGGGACAGCAAGAGAGACACAATGGCACTGGCAGGTGCTGAGTTTCAGTCTGGAAAGAAATAGAGAATGAGGCCAGGTGTGGTGGTGCACGCCTCGAGGCCCAGCTACTAGAGGCTGAGATGGGAGGATCTCTTGAGCCCAGGAGTTTGAAACCAGCCTGGACAACATAACAAGATACTATCTTAACAACAACAATAAAAAAGAATTAGGAAAATGAGCAATATTTGTCCCTGAGAAAACTGAATGGAAAGAAAGCAAGCCTGCCAGGCTGAATGTCTCACGCCTTTAATCCCAGCACTTTGGGAGGCCAAATCGGGAGGATTGCTTGAGACCTGCCTGAGCAAAATAGTGAGAACGCTATATTAAAAAAAAAAAATTAAAAAGCTAGGCAAGCATGGTGGTGTGTGCCTATAGTCCCAGCTATTTGGGAGGCTGAGGTGGGAGGATTGCTTGAGCTTTGGAAGCGGAGGCTGCAGTGAGCCATGTTCGTGCCATTGCACTGAGGCCTGGGTGACAGAGCGAGACCCTGTGTCATGTACATGAAAAGGAAGCAAGCCATGGAAGCAGAAGAGGAAAAGACCACTGCTGAGTGCTGACTGCGTCTCAGGTGTATATCCACGCTTGACGCGTGTCATCACACCGAATTCTCAGCAGGTGTGCATCCACACTTGATGTGTGTCATCATCACACCGAATTCTCAGCAGGTCTCAGAGGTAGGCTTTGTTATCACCCCATTTTAGAAAGAAGGCAACTAAGGCTCAGAGAAGTTGAACCTGCTGCGCAAGGCTGCTCAGTTCCTGAGAAGGCAGAATAGGAGGAGAGGCTGGGGGGTGCTGAGAGCCACCCAGGCTGGGCCTCTGCTGCCAGGTGACCCAGGGCTGTGAGAAGCTCAGCTCACTGTCCAGTCTCTGAGGGGGTGACTTGGTTTCAGCACTCATTTTTCCATTCCATTGCCTTCATGCCAGAAAACAATGTGAAGTCATGCCTGCAGCTGCTTCCTCTCGGCAGGAATGGGTGTGAGAACCACGATCTCGGTGGCGGGAGGTGAGAGGGAGCCCTTTCACACGCCAGCTGGAACAGTTTGGGAGGCGGAAAGCGCCTCGTGCTGCTGGCTCCATCACCACTGCAGTCACCACCGCAGGGAGCCGAAATTCTTGGTGACCTCTTGGATCCCTCAAGGAATCAAGTTGTAGGAACCATGCGGTCACAAGTCTACCTTGTTCTTGAGCTCTGGTGTATTGAGAATTGCTCTCTGCCTCTAGGTGATGGTCTCCCCGGAGTGACAGTGCTTGTATTAATTTAGAGATTTGTGGGCTGGGCGTGGTGACCCACACCTGTAATCCTAGCATTTTGGGAGGCCGAAGCGGGTGGATGGCTTGAGTCTAGGAATTCAAGATCAGCCTGGGCAACATGGCGAAACCCCGTCTCTACAGAATACAAAAATTAGCCAGGCGTGGTGGCGTGCACCTGTGGTCCCAGTTGCTTGAGAGGCTGAGATGGGAGGATCAGTTGAGCCCGGGAGGTCAAGGCTGCCAGTAAGCTGACATTGCACCACTGCATTCCCACTTGGGCGACAGAGTGAGACCCTGTCTTAAAAAAAAAAAAAAAAAGAAAGAAATTTGTGATGAAAGATAAACACAAAGACAAAGTATTAGTTTTATTTCTAGCACACAATCACATATGTATACTGTGTTTCCAAGGTTGAAATTTATTTAACAAATCCGTCAGACAGTATTAATGGGGGATGAGCCATAACGGTAGTTGACAGTTTAGTTTTATCTATAAGATAGAATTGGAAAAGCACATTTTAGCTATAATTATTCCTATTTACAGAGGTTGCTCCTGTAGTTTAAGTTAATATCAACTTCACACATGTAAAAATACATCTCTAAATTTTTTTTTTTTTTTGAGTCTTTTCTCCCTGGGCTGCTCTTTTCCTGAGAGTCAGTATAAATTTTAAGAGCAGTCCTTATTATCGTTTCCTACATTTTTATCTAGTAGAAAAAAGTTTAAACAAATTTAAGAAGACAATAAAAGTCTGATTATTAAATCATATAGAGTAGAAACTGGTAGTCATCTTCCTCCTTCAGAAGTAGTAAAACATAACCTAAAAATGACTTTTTGATTGAAGTGAAAAATCTTCGCCTGACAATTCCAACACAGTTGATTAACATTTTTTCATGTACATAAAAGAATTAGCATTATCTTTAAGATTGTCCTAGCTTGGGATTACAGTTAATAGTGCTGAATAAACTCTATAGAATCTAGTTGTATTGACTTTTTTTTTCTGCATGCATTCTGCAGTACAGGTTGAAATCCTTTGCTACGGATGAGTTCTAGAAGGTTAACTGTGAAAGTTTCACATTGGCAATTTCACTTTGGCAGCTTTGAGACAGGACAATGGTGGTTCCTATAATCAGCTAACCCAGTTCATACAGTGTTCCAAGCCTTTTGTTCTTAAGCTGAATAAATAATGCTTTGCATTCCAGCCCTTTATTTCGTGTCATCAATAGCATACCTCAAGACCACTTTTTTGGCAGTGTGTTAATGAATGTTTTGTTGAACTCTTTTCATCTATCAAGGACTGAAATATCTGATTTAATCTCAGTGGTGCTTAAAATAAACGTTTGTGGCTGAGTTTACTCAAGCCCTTATTTGAAAGCTATTCTTGTAGGCAGGTCCAGAGCTAAAGACTGCCAGCTTGTCGGCCCACTGCTATCTGTTCCTGGGGGCACACTGGGAGCCATCGTCAGGTTTCTTGACTTGGATTTCTGACTTACTACTCTCTGGACAGTCTAGAGAGTAGGTGGATTTCAGTGCAATGATTTTTGTAAGTTTTCAAATTAAGTAATTGGCCAAATGGGTTCCTTGGATGAGAACTCCTTGGGTCAGGGGAGAGCGGGACCTTCAGAAGGTGAGAATGTCAGCTCTGTTCTCACTGTGCCCTCCCTTTCCCATCCCAGTCCCGCAGGACTGTGCAGGCTAAGGGCTGTGTCAGGGACCACCTTGAGCTGCAGAAAATATCTAGAAAGCTAAGCCAACAGTTCTGAAGGTTTTTAACTCTTGTACTCAGTGTTCATTTTCTCCATCCCCTTCTTTAGGATTGCTTTGTAGCAGAAATGGAGGATAAAGTTTTGACTGTGGTAAGTATGCGTTCTAAAAGTTATTGTAAAATTCCTTTTCCAAAGGCAGTGGGAATCACATTAAGTAAATGCACCATGGCTAATTACTTCAGGAGATACTCTGAAATATTGGCTTTTGGGACATGAGTTTTTAAATTTAGGTGGAAGGGAAAGCACAAAAGTTACTTAACAAGACCAACTACTGTGAAAATTCCTGTGCTTAAATTAGCTACATTGAGTCTCTGTTTTATTATTACTTTTTCTGAACATTATATCAGGATACAGTTATACGTACATTGCTAGCTAGCCTGCTAATCATGATTGAACTGATGTGCAAATTTCACTTTAGGACTGTTTTGATTTAAGAAAAAAATTATTGGCAACAACCTTATGATGGAGGGGGGATGTGCTGTAACTGTTTAAGGAGCATTTTGTAACTATTCATCATCACTTCCTCCTTTTGACATAAGCCAGCCTGTGCTCTTTTGATAAGACCTTCCTCCTACTGATGTTGAGGAATTTAGCAATGAAACTGCTATAAATATATTTTCCATAAATAGGGAGGCCAAACAAATTGGAGGAATGTAAAAAGTATCACTTCTTGGATTCTCCCCCTTGGAAAGAAAAATCACTCTTTGGAATTTCCTGATTTCTTTGGTGGTTTAATTTTGAAAGGTTAGATGAGTCTGATTGGGGAAATAGCACACGTAACCACTGTGACTTCTACAAGGAGACTACTTAATAGGGATCCTCTCATTGTCTCTTTAGTTTTACCTCGTCGGTGTTTGGCATTCAAAGAATGTGAGTGATCACTAAAAAGATGATAGACCTAAATGTAAAATGCAAAACTATAAACCATCTAAAAGATAACATAGGAGAAAATGTAGGTGACTGTCAGTTTTGCAATGAGTTTTCAGATAGAATACCAAAAGCATAATTCATGCTTTTGGAAAAATTGATAACGTGGACTTCATTAAAATTAAAAACCGCTATGTGAAATGCACTGGTAAGAGAATGAAAAGACAAGCCACAGACTGGGAGAAAATGTTTTCAAAACACCTATCAGATAAAGAACTTGTATCCAAAATGTACAAAGAACTCTTAAAATAAGAATAAGAAGACAAACAACCCAATTATAAAGGAGGCAAAAGATCTGAACAGGTACTTACATACACATGGCAAATAAGCCTATGAAAAGATGTTCAATGTCATCTGTAATTAGGGAATTGCAAATTAAAACAACGAGATACCACTATACACCTATTATATAGGCTAAAATATAAAACACTGACAACACCAAACGCTGCTGAGGATGTGGAGCAACAGGAATGCTCATTAATTGCTGGTAGAAATGCAAAATGGTGCAGGCAGTTTGGAGGACAATTTGGAAGTTTCTTATAAAATGAAACATATTCTTACCATATGATCCAACAGTTGTGCTCCTAAATATTTACCCAAAGGAGTTGAAAATTTACATCAAAAAATGTGCACAGGATGTTTATAGCAGGTTTACTCAAAATTGCCAAAAATATTGGAAGCAACCTTAATGTCTCTCAATAGGTAAATGGATAAAGAAACTGTTGTACATCTATAAAATAGAATATTATTCAGCAATAAAAAAGAAATAAGCTATTAAGTCCTGAAAATATATGGAGGAAACTTACAAGCATATTGTTAATTGAAATAAGGCAGTCTGAAAAGGCTACATGCTGCAAAATTCTGACTATTTGGCATTCTAGAAAATCAAAACCACAGAGATAGTAAAAAGATCTATGTTTGCCAGGGGTTCATGGTGAGGGATGGGGTGGTGGATAATTAGGTTGTGCACAGGGGATATTTAGGACATTGAAACTATCCTGTATGAGACCGTAATGATGGATACATGACATTAGGCATTTGTCAGAACTCGTAGAATGTACACCACAAAAAGTGAACCCTAATATAAATTAAAGATTTTAGTTAATGTCTGAATATTAGTTCATCATTTGTTTTTGTTTTGTTTTGTTTTGTTTTTTTGGAGACAGAGTCTCCCTCTGTCACCCAAGCTGAAGTAGAATGGTGTGACTCGGCTCACTGCAGCCTCAGCCTCTGCCTCCGAGGTTCAAGCAATTCTGCAACCTCAGCCTCCCAAGTAGCTGGGGTTACAGGCACCCGCCACCATGCCCATCTAATTTTTCTATTTTTAGTAGAGATGGGATTTTGCCATATTGGTCAGGCTGGTCTTGAACTGCTGACTTCAGGTGATCCACCCACCTTGGCCTCCCAAAGTGCTGAGATTACAGTCGTGAGCCACTGTGCCCAGCCTAGTTCATCATTTGTAACAAATGCATTGCACTAGGACAAGATGTTAATAATAGAGGAAGCTGGGAATGGAGGGTGGTGGTGGAGGGGATATATGGGAACTCAATGGACTTTTTGCTCAATTTTTTAAATAAACCTAAAACAGCTTTAAAAAGTAAAGTCCATTAAAAAAATGGTTTAGGCCCAAAACAGTTTTTTTTTTTTTTTTTTTGCCTTGTCAATATTTGGTGTTCAGAGACTGTGAGCAATCATTGAAAAGTCAGGTAGGTGGCCTTGGAGAGATGATTCCACTTCATTGCTGAAAGGGGATTTCTGCCTGGCCTGTGCTCTTCGGTGGTCATGGAGGAGTGAATATAAAAACTGCCCTTTGTAAACAAAGCTGAAATAGTGGCACTATTCCCACGGATGGTAAATATGGAGTCTAAATGCCATGCATTCATTGAGCAGAATTATCAGAATGATTGCCGACCAGACCTAAAGATTATAGGTGAAATGCGTTTCTCTAAAAATCAGCTTGAGATAAACTTGGTTAATGATTGAACTTTCCTGACTATTTGCTTCTCCAATTCTAGGTCAAGGTTTTAAATGGCATCTGTGACAAAACAATCCGATCTACCACAGATCCTGTGATGAGCCAATGTGCATGTCTGGAGGAAGTTCACTTACCAAACATTAAACCTGGGGAAGGCCTGGTAAGTTCTAATAACACTTGTTTTATTTTCAGATAACATATATCATCATTTACTAAATTTTTTTTAAAAAATTCCTTATTGCTTTCACTATAATTCTGAAAAGTAGAATTAAGTTAGACCTCCTTCCGTGATGTAGTTAGGAATGTGCTATCTTGAATCCTGTTGATATGTTTTCTACCTTCAAAGTATAAAAATAAATACAATTTTAAAACTGTATACTCATATTTTGAAGATAACACTTTATTTTTAGGACTTAGCAATGCAAGGAAATATAAAACATTTACACAAAGGAAATACGGTTTCTGGCTACAAAAACAACATCTGTCTGAAAGTCTCTATTAGCACTTAGAAGAATGTCAGAAGAGACTGGCTGAAGGCAGTGATTCTTAAGGGTTTAGAAACGTTTCATAAGTAATATACGAGCTATATCATAACAGGCTGTGGGACTACATACAGGTAGTCTCCTAGTACCTAGTGTGCATCCTGTGGGATTAATTTGCTGAAATTTTCATGAAGAAGCTGTGAAGCCCATTAGTTAGCTTAGAGGCTTTGAGTCAGAGAGAGCTGGGTTTAAGTCCCAGCTCTTTAGGGACTTAACCTCTTTACGTGTCAGTTTCCTCATAGGGTTGTTGAAAGTATTGTATTAGATTGTGAGTGCCAAGTGCCAGGCCCCAAGCACATAGTACGTGTGCATTAATGTGGCTGCAGCTACTGTTGCTGGTATTGATGATAAGGAGGTGAAAAAGGAGGAGGAGAAGGTGGAGGGGGAGAAGTATCTAATGTATAGGTAGCTGTTGGGAGCTATTAAGGTAGTCTCTGCTCTTAGATAGAAAAAAACAAAAATCAACCTACTGTTTTAGGCCCACATTCTTAGTGAGCAGAAATTTGCATATTGGTACTGCTTGACTTCAAGGCAAATGATGGATTGTAACAGATTAAGTTTAAACAGGGAGGACTTCCTGGAGGTAGGTTTATAGTCAAATATTTAAGCAGATAAATGCCCTGAGCAGGCAGAAATGGAGTTGTCATTTCAGATGGTAGAGTTATACAAGCAGTGCCCTGGGAGGGGGAGTACCATGTGTAGGGGAGAAGCTGATATAATCTGTGAGTGAAAGTAACAGGATAGGAGAGGAATGGGGAGAACCTGAAGGCGTTGGTGTTTGATGGGTCTCTCATCATAAATTGGTGTAGGTTAATGAGCAGGCTGGGTGCAGCATAATGTCTGAGGAGGGTCCACATTATTACAGCATAGATACCAGGGTGAGCAACTACGTTTTGCCCGTTCTACTTTTTGCTCTCTTTTCCCATCTTGTAGCAGTTTAATTAAACAACATTAAATGTGGTGAGTCCAACTGCAGAAATAATTCCTCAATGATATATTCGGTGTATCACTCAGTGAGGCATGGCCTCTGAGTTTGCCTCTCAGGCCTCTTAGGAGAGAGAATATTCATTCATCTTTACATTTCCCTTAAAAGGAAGGATGTCTGTTACTAATTTGCTACCTATGCTTTGTTATTTAATAATCTTTGTTCATGTATCTTTGTCTGATTATTAGTAGCTTTAATAGTCACTCTGAGGTTATTTCGGTTACCAAATTTAAATGAATATATTGTGTCCCTAGACCAAGAAATGGTCAAGAAAGAACCGTTCTTTGGCTGGGTGTGGTGGCTTACTCCTATAATCCCAGCACTTTGGGAGGCCGAGGTGGGAGGATCACTTGAGCCCAGGAGTTTGAAACCAGCCCGGGTAACGTAGCGAGGTCCTTTCTCTATTAAAAAAATAAAATAATTAGCTGGGTGTGGTGGCACACACCTGTAGTCCTGGCTACTTGGGGAGGCTGAGGTGAGAGGATCACTTGAGCCCAGGAGTTCAAGGTAACAGTGAGCTGTGTTGGCATGGCTACACTCCAGTCTAGGCAACATAGCAAGACCCCGTCTCATCGTCAACATAATAGAACTGTTCTTGTTTGAAGTGCCTCCCTCATTCACTCATTCTGTAGGTCTAAGAAAAAGCCCACATCCTCAGAGTTGTGGCATAATTCTGTGTGCCTGGTACACAGATTATAGCATCAAAGGGATCACACGTTTTACTGCTTTCACCAGTATTTCAGTTTGCTTAGCTCCCCTTCACCACCCTTTGGATCTTGTTTCTCGATGTTTCGGGAGGCTGAAAAACGAGTATTGTTCTGAAGGGACTGTTGTTAATGTTTTATAAGTTTAAGTCTTGCTTGGGGTGATGTCTGCAAATGTTGGAGTAATGAGTTAATCTGTTTGTGACTCACTCCAGGGCATGTACATCAAATCAACCTACGATGGGTTACACGTGATTACTGGAACCACAGAAAATGTAAGTGTATATTCATTAAGTGTAAAAGCTGTTGTGTGTTTAAACAAATTTGATCCACAGTCTCTATACTTTGAATTTAAATGTGTGCATGCTATTTGATTATTATGAGAGCATGGGTGCCTGCTTTGTTTATTTCTGTTGACAGAGTACTGCTTGTCACCAACTGTTGTCAATTTATTATTTAAATCGTCCTTTATTGCTCTTGTTCATACACCTTGCCCAGTTTTTATGCTACCCTTGTGTTAATTACTGCTTTTGCACCCTGGAAGTGTGAAGCCATAAATAGAAAAGCAATGATCTTTTTGTTTTTGAGAATCACTCTTATAAGAACTGGGATTGGTAGCCATGTGTATAAAATATATATTTTTTGATTTAATGGAATTTTTATGTCTCCAAAGCAGCTATTTCAGGATTTTTTTTACAACATATTTTTATAGTTGTGTTTCATAATATTTGGCATGATACTGAAATTTAGTCCTCTCTCCCCGCCCTTTGAATAGGAAAAGCAGGTCTGTTTTCTACTGTGAGAGACTTGTGTACACTGTGTACTTCCTTCTGGAAATTCTGCTATGTGTAGGGTTGTCTTTAGCCCCTCAACATTTTGAATTTGTGAGAAGTAGAGCTAGTTGAATGCTTTCTTCTTGCAGCCTACAATATGGCGTGCTTTTGAAAGACATTGATATGAAACTAAAAATGTTTGAATAGCTTCCCTGGGTCTATGTAAAAGAACCATGGATTTGGGGGAATTAACCTATTTAATCAGCTAAGACAAGAGGAGATAATTCCTAAAATTAGGGGAAATTTTAGTAGCTGCTTTTCTAATCTGTTTGGTAGAAATATGTGTCTAATTTTGAGCTTCAGCTGCTAGATCTTTCTTTTTTTTTTTTTTAATTAATTAATTAATTTATTTATTATTATTATACTTTAAGTTGTAGGGTACATGTGCATAACGTGCAGGTTTGTTACATATGTATACTTGTGCCATGTTGGTGTGCTGCACCCATCAACTCGTCATTTACATCAGGTATAACTCCCAATGCAATCCCTCCCCCCTCCCCCCTCCCCATGATAGGCCCCGGTGTGTGATGTTCCCCTTCCTGAGTCCAAGTGATCTCATTGTTCAGTTCCCACCTATGAGTGAGAACATGCGGTGTTTGGTTTTCTGTTCTTGTGATAGTTTGCTAAGAATGATGGTTTCCAGCTGCATCCATGTCCCTACAAAGGACACAAACTCATCCTTTTTGATGGCTGCATAGTATTCCATGGTGTATATGTGCCACATTTTCTTAATCCAATCTGTCACTGATGGACATTTGGGTTGATTCCAAGTCTTTGCTATTGTGAATAGTGCTGCAATAAACATACGTGTGCATGTGTCTTTATAGCAGCATAATTTATAATCCTTTGGGCATATACCCAGTAATGGGATGGCTGGGTCATATGGTACATCTAGTTCTAGATCCTTGAGGAATCGCCATACTGTTTTCCATAATGGTTGAACTAGTTTACAATCCCACCAACAGTGTAAAAGTGTTCCTATTTCTCCACATCCTCTCCAGCATCTGTTGTTTCCTGACTTTTTAATGATCGCCATTCTAACTGGTGTGAGATGGTATCTCATTGTGGTTTTGATTTGCATTTCTCTGATGGCCAGTGATGATGAGCATTTTTTCATGTGTCTGTTGGCTGTATGAATGTCTTCTTTTGAGAAATGTCTGTTCATATCCTTTGCCCACTTATTGATGGGGTTGTTTGTTTTTTTCTTGTAAATTTGTTTGAGTTCTTTGTAGGTTCTGGATATTAGCCCTTTGTCAGATGAGTAGACTGCAAAAATTTTCTCCCATTCTGTAGGTTGCCTGTTCAGTCTGATGGTAGTTTCTTTTGCTGTGCAGAAGCTCTTTAGTTTAATGAGATCCCATTTGTCAATTTTGGCTTTTGCTGCCGTTGCTTTTGGTGTTTTAGACATCAAGTCTTTGCCCATGCCTATGTCCTGAATGGTACTACCTAGGTTTTCCTCTAGGATTTTATGGTATTAGGTCTAACATTTAAGTCTCTAATCCATCTTGAATTAATTTTCGTATAAGGAGTAAGGAAAGGATCCAGTTTCAGCTTTCTACTTATGGCTAGCCAATTGTCCCAGCACCATTTATTAAATAGGGAATCCTTTCCCCATTTCTTGTTTCTCTCAGGTTTGTCAAAGATCAGATGGCTGTAGATGTGTGGTATTATTTCTGAGAACTCTGTTCTGTTCCATTGGTCTATATCTCTGTTTGGTACCAGTACCATGCTGTTTTGGTTACTGTAGCCTTGTAGTATAGTTTGAAGTCAGGTAGCGTGATGCCTCCAGCTTTGTTCTTTTGACTTAGGATTGTCTTGGAGATGCGGGCTCTTTTTGGTTCCATATGAACTTTAAAGCAGTTTTTTCCAATTCTGTGAAGAAACTCATTGGTAGCTTGATGGGGATGGCATTGAATCTATAAATTACCTTGGGCAGTATGGCCATTTTCATGATATTGATTCTTCCTATCCATGAGCATGGTATGTTCTTCCATTTGTTTGTGTCCTCCTTTATTTCACTGAGCAGTGGTTTGTAGTTCTCCTTGAAGAGGTCCTTTACATCCCTTGTAAGTTGGATTCCTAGGTATTTTATTCTCTTTGAAGCAATTGTGAATGGAAGTTCATTCCTGATTTGGCTCTCTGTTTGTCTGTTACTGGTGTATAAGAATGCTTGTGATTTTTGCACATTAATTTTGTATCCTGAGACTTTGCTGAAGTTGCTTATCAGCTTAAGGAGATTTTGGGCTGAGACAGTGGGGTTTTCTAAATATACCATCATGTCATCTGCAAACAGGGACAATTTGACTTCTTCTTTTCCTAACTGAATACCCTTGATTTCTTTCTCTTGCCTAATTGCCCTAGCCAGAACTTCCAACACTATGTTGAATAGGAGTGGTGAGAGAGGGCATCCCTGTCTTGTGCCAGTTTTCAAAGGGAATTTTTCCAGTTTTTGCCCATTCAGTATGATATTGGCTGTGGGTTTGTCATAAATAGCTCTTATTATTTTGAGGTACGTTCCATCAATACCGAATTTATTGAGCGTTTTTAGCATGAAGGGCTGTTGAATTTTGTCAAAAGCCTTTTCTGCATCTATTGAGATAATCATGTGGTTCTTGTCTTTGGTTCTTTTTATATGCTGGATTATGTTTATTGATTTGCGAATGTTGAACCAGCCTTGCATCCCAGGGATGAAGCCCACTTGATCATGGTGGATAAGCTTTTTGATGTGTTGCTGAATCCGGTTTGCCAGTATTTTATTGAGGATTTTTGCATCGATGTTCATCAGGGATATTGGTCTAAAATTCTCTTTTTTTGTTGTGTCTCTGCCAGGCTTTGGTATCAGGATGATGTTGGCCTCATAAAATGAGTTAGGGAGGATTCCCTCTTTTTCTATTGATTGGAATAGTTTCAGAAGGAATGGTACCAACTCCTCCTTGTACCTCTGGTAGAATTCAGCTGTGAATCCATCTGGTCCTGGACTTTTTTTGGTTGGTAGGCTATTAATTATTGCCTCAATTTCAGAGCCTGCTATTGGTCTATTCAGGGATTCAACTTCTTCCTGGTTTAGTCTTGGAAGAGTGTAAGTGTCCAGGAAATTATCCATTTCTTCTAGATTTTCCAGTTTATTTGCGTAGAGGTGTTTATAGTATTCTCTGATGGTAGTTTGTATTTCTGTGGGGTCGGTGGTGATATCCCCTTTATCATTTTTAATTGCGTCGATTTGATTCTTCTCTCTTTTCTTCTTTATTAGTCTTGCTAGTGGTCTGTCAATTTTGTTGATCTTTTCAAAAAACCAACTCCTGGATTCATTGATTTTTTGGAGAGTTTTTTGTGTCTCTATCTCCTTCAGTTCTGCTCTGATCTTAGTTATTTCTTGCCTTCTGCTAGCTTTCGAATGTGTTTGCTCTTGCTTCTCTAGTTCTTTTAATTGCGATGTTAGAGTGTCAATTTTAGATCTTTCCTGCTTTCTCTTGTGGGCATTTAGTGCTATAAATTTCCCTCTACACACTCCTTTAAATGTGTCCCAGAGATTCTGGTATGTTGTATCTTTGTTCTCATTGGTTTCAAAGAACATCTTTATTTCTGCCTTCATTTCGTTATGTACCCAGTAGTCATTCAGGAGCAGGTTGTTCAGTTTCCATGTAGTTGAGCGGTTTTGATTGAGTTTCTTAGTCCTGAGTTCTAGTTTGATTGCACTGTGGTCTGAGAGACAGTTTGTTATAATTTCTGTTCTTGTACATTTGCTGAGGAGTGCTTTACTTCCAATTACGTGGTCGATTTTGGAGTAAGTATGATGTGGTGCTGAGAAGAATGTATATTCTATTGATTTGGGGTGGAGAGTTCTATAGATGTCTATTAGGTCTGCTTGCTGCAGAGATGAGTTCAATTCCTGGATATCCTTGTTAACTTTCTGTCTCGTTGATCTGTCTAATGTTGACAGTGGAGTGTTGAAGTCTCCCATTATTATTGTATGGGAGTCTAAGTCTCTTTGTAAGTCTCTAAGGACTTGCTTTATGAATCTGGGTGCTCCTGTATTGGGTGCATATATATTTAGGATAGTTAGCTCTTCCTGTTGAATTGATCCCTTTACCATTATGTAATGGCCTTCTTTGTCTCTTTTGATCTTTGATGGTTTAAAGTCTGTTTTATCAGAGACTAGGATTGCAACCCCCGCTTTTTTTTGTTCTCCATTTGCTTGGTAAATCTTCCTCCATCCCTTTATTTTGAGCCTATGTATGTCTCTGCGTGTGAGATGGGTCTCCTGAATACAGCAGACTGATGGGTCTTGACTCTTTATCCAGTTTGCCAGTCTGTGTCTTTTAATTGGAGCATTTAGTCCATTTACATTTAAGGTTAAGATTGTTATGTGTGAACTTGATCCTGCCATTATGATATTAACTGGTTATTTTGCTCGTTAGTTGATGCAGTTTCTTCCTAGCCTT